CATATGCACATACACACATACACACATACATATAATTCAAAAAGAAAGATAACTCTTTAAAGCAACTTTTTTTTTCGAGACAGGGTTTCTCTGTGTAGCTTTGGTGCCTGTCCTGGATCTCACTCTGTAGACCAGGCTGGCCTCGAACTCAGAGATCTGCCTGGCTCTTGCCTCCCGAGTGTTGGGATTAAAGGCGTGCAGCACCACCACCTGGCTAAAGCAATTTTTAAAAAGGTTAAATTGGTAAGAATTCAAAGTGTGTCTCTTACTCACAGCTCACTGTATAACTCTTAACATCTTTCAAAGCAGCTAGCAGACTTTCACTTACAGATGAGAGCACCTCCATTTTAGACTTTGTATTTTCAGACAGGGTCTCATGATGCAACCAAGGGTTACATGACACTTGTGTCACCCCTAACTCAGCTTGAGTGCTAGGACTGAAGGAAGCATCAACACACACACACACAGCTTCTTCATTAATCATCAATCTTGAATGGCTAATGAAGAAACAAGGGAAGAGACTACATGAGCGTGTCTTTGCATGCACAGGACGTAATGGTTCCAAATCACTATCTTTTCTGCCCAATCTTTTATTCTTCCCTGAAAGAAATCAGGACAACCTTCATAGAACTTTAATAAACACTAGGCTTAAGCCCAGTTTATATGTGAGTCTGTAATTGGCCTGGAGTCCTGAAGAACTTAAGCAATGCTACTGCCTTGGGGAAGACCAGGCCATTCACACTTCTCTCATCTCCTTTATCCCCACTGGATCATGCTGCAGAAAGAAAAGTCCTCTCATAGGCCTCTTCAGTACTTGGGAGGCAGAGGCAGGCGGATCTCTGTGAGTTCAAGGCCAGCCTGTGCTACAGAGTGAGTCCAGGAAAGGCGCAAAGCTACACAGAGAAACCCTGTCTCAAAAAACAAAAACAAAAAGATTATCAACTTTGTTTAGTTTTATTATTATTTTTTTTTCTAGTTAACTAATTTGGGGGCGCGTGTGCCCTCTCTCTCACAGATGCATGCATGCCAGGGTACCTGCTTTGAGGTCAGAAAACAATTCTAAGAACTCAGTGCTCTCCTGCCACCTTGTGGGATTCAGGACTGAAGTCAAGGTTATCAGGCCTGCCATTAGGCATCTTTACCTGCTGAACCATCTAACTGATCTTGTTTGAGTTCTCACATAGTCCAAGCTAGCCTCAAACACATTATGTAGTTGAGGCTTGCCTCCTGATTCTCTGGCTTCTCCCCCTCAGAGGATGAGATGACAGGCGCAAGCCACCATCCTCACTAAAATAATATTTGAGGGCATAGTTTAACTGTAACCACACCTTCCTTTCCCTTCATTTTAAAAACAGATCTTCGTGTACCTGATTTGGGGGAAGCATCAGGAATTAGACCGAGGGCTTTGTATATGGTAATCACATGCTCTCCTGTTGTATTATAATTCCAACCCTTCAACATTAAGGATCTACCACCTCCTACATCCTGTGCCAGGCAATGAACTGCCAAGAATAGGGAAGCAGAGCCGGGCGGTGGTGGGCACGCCTTTAATCCCAGCACTCAGGAGGCAGAGCCAGGCCCAGGCGGATCTCTGTGAGTTCAAGGCCAGCCTCGTCTACAGAACGAGATCTAGGACAGACACCGAAGCTACACTGAGAAATCTTGTCTCAGAAAAACCAAAAAGAATAGGGAAGTATTGTTAAACAAATACAGAAAAAGGACACATCATTTTAAACTTCCTTCTAGCCACTGTTTAAAACAGTAAAGACAAGATGAAATTAATTTCAATATTTAACCAAATAAATCCAAAACATTATTTCAACACTTAACTAATCTTGAAAAAATTAAGATTATTTGGCATTCTTTTTCTTCAAGCTGAATCTTTGCTCTCTGGTGTATATCTGACACCTAAACATATTCTAATGTGAACTAAGCACACGTCAAATACTCAACAGCCACAGGAAGCTCACAACTACTGGTCCCGATGTGGAGAACTAGTGGGTCTCATAAGAACTGTTGAGACCAGCTAGTCTTATGACCTTAGAAATCTGCCTCATAAGTACTTCTTGGGCCACAGCCAACATGGTGCAGAGGGGAACAAAGGAGCGGGAAGGGGCTTACCCATCAAACGAAGAGCTGGTGCAGTCGTACACCATCTCTCTGTTGCCCTTCATCTGCAGGTATGCTTCGCAATTGTCACACCCATCATACTCAAACTGGTCTATAGTCTGCAAAGGAAAAAACAAAAACGGGGGATGAGCACGAACAAGGTCTTAACATTTCGACGAAGACAGCCTCTTAGTTCTCTGCGTAGTCCAACACGTACTGCTCTCCACCACTCTTCCTCAATTCCACCCTCCCGCTCCTGTCTTCCCTCATCACCCTTCATTCAGCTTAAATACGTTTTCTAGTCTCCTTGGGGTCGGGCACTCTCTCCAACGACTCTCTCGGCCGCTCTGGCTCCCATACAGGTCGTTCCTGTCCACTACAGTCAGGCGTGCAAGCACTGGCGAGCCAGACTTGGGCGAAGCGCTGGAGAGCCGCCACGATCACCCGCGCCCTCGGCAGACACGAGCGCCCTGCTCGCGTTCTTTCGACGTGGACAACGGCTCCCGTGCGCGTCCCACTCCCCCGGCGACCTCCCGGGATCTCGGATCCTGTGTCCCCCACTCCGCCCTCTTTCTCTCTTTGTGCCTCCTCAGTCGCGCCCACAACCAGGCCCCCGGCCGACACCTTGACTAGCGAGCACAGCAGACAAGCCCGCAGGTGCCGCAGGTCCTTCGGCACCGTCTCCAGGGCCATCCTCACCGACACCCCAAGGCACAGAGGGAGACCGTCACGGGCGCCACAGCCGCCGGAAGTAAACACACCATTACCCAGAGTGCCGGGCACTTCCTGTGCGTAACTTCCTCGTCCGGTGCCGGCCGTCGCCGGCCCCGTCCCTCTCCCCCTCGCAGGAGATGGTTTCTCCCGTCGGGGACGTGGGCGGGGCGGCCGGCCGGCAGCCACCTGGGCCGTGCGCGCCCGCCACCTGGACTCGCGTGAGCGAGCGGAAGGCGGTGCGCGCGCGGGTGGGGTGGGGTGGTTGGGCCCTTCGGGGCGGGGACTGTGGGGTGCGGTCCGCGCTTGCGCAGAGGGGCGTGGCGCGGGGCGGCTTGCGGAACTGAGCACCGTCACGCGGGCGTTTCGGTGTGGACGTCTGCCGGCCCGGCCCTGTCTCCCTAGGATCCCCCCATGAGAACCTAGATTGTTTTGTCCGTTTGCTTATGTATTGCGACGGCAAATGGTAATTCCTTAAGCTGGTCTCTCTGCCTACAGGACGGTGACCTTGAACTTCCGATCTCCCTGCCTCCACTTTGGGAGGGCTGGGATTGTAGGCGCGTGCCACAACGCCTGGGCGTTTTACTCTTTTGAGACAAGGCTGATCTGGTACTCCCTGCCCTCATGTCTCAGCCTCCCGAATGCTCGGAATACTTCCCGCTGGGTTGTTTTAAAACGCGAGGCAGTGAGTCCTTGCCTTTCTGGGTCTGCAGACAAAACAAAGCCCCGCCCCTTCTTGTAACTGCGAGAGCCCGATAGGGTTTCGTTTGCGGTCCCCAGGAATGCAAGCCCGAGCCGCGCCAAGGGGTGGGGGGCACGCATATTCAATTCTTTCTAAAAAAAAAAAAAAAAAAAAAAAAAAAAACCTCTCTCGTTTGCGCGTCCCGGCTGATAATTTACGCCTTGTAAAACTCTTGGCACATTTAGACATAATTCCATGAGAGCATCTGTACCTTAGAGATCTCACTTCTCACGCACTCCCCCGCCTCAGCCGCCATTGGACAGTGTATGACGCAAAATCCCTGGCCTTTTGAACTGGGCACCCAGACACCTAGAATCCTGAGCAGACTATGCAGAAGCAGCATGAGGGATGGTGCAGTGTGAACAGAGTCAAGGCCCCTCCTGACCCTAGGGAATTTGTAGAAGGCACCAGATACATGTGCCGTTTGAAGGGACCCCCACAGGAATTCATACAGAGACAGGACCAGTTCTTGGAGTGTAGACAAAGTGTAGTCACTGTGTTTATCTGAATCGGAGCGCTGGGATATAAATAGTCACAATCCCTGCTGTTCTGTCCTTCCAGCCTTTCTTCTAATTGAAACTGAACTGCCGCAAGACTGATTCTGGGTTGTCCCAAAATGCATTCAAACGGGGTCTGTAACTGGGTTTTCAGATGCTTTCTAGCACTGGGAAGTACCTTTTCAGTTTGGAATACATTTTCACTAAGCTATCTCGTGTAAGCCTTGTATCAACTCTGAAGGAGGATCATTTTATTGATGGAAAAAGCCAGACACCCTGCTGGCTGGGGAGCTGGCTCAGGACCCACCACATAAAAGCTGGGCAACTGTAATCACAGGGGCCAGAGATAGGCAGATCCCAGGGGCTTCAGGGCCAGCCAGTCTCGTCAAAACAAAGTTCCAGGTTTAGTGAGAGACCCTTTTTTATAGTTTTGTTGTTTTCTCCAGAGACAGGGTCTATTATGTAGCTCTGGCTGTCCTTGAACTTGGTACATAGATCAGGCTGGCCCCAAACTCACACCTGAATACACTTGTGTACACACACATACCAAGGCACTGTATTTGGTTAAGGTCACAAAGTAAGTCACTGAAGCATCAGAGTGAGCAACAGTACAATACAGATAAAGAACTGAATTGTGATGACAACCCAGGCATGCTTTGTTCTCTGGTCCTATGAAGCCATGTTTCGGGGATTTAAAAACCACCCTATCCTTATGAGCTTTTGATATCACAACATACGAAGCCAGACATAATAACAGTACATGCCTATAATCCCAGTAATTGGGAGGGGGAAGCAGAAGGATCAGGAGTTCAAGGCTAGTCTTAGCTATGAAGTGAATTTGAGTCAGGCTGGGCTTCAAAAAATTCAAAAAAAGGAAATAGAAAAGATGAAATCGTTATTCTGAGTGGAAAACCATAATGAAACAAAACCACAAAGACAGATCATATTTATGGATAAATATATTAGCAAATAAATACATTTCTCAACATAGTGCCTGATTCAAGCATCTTTCTGTCTGGTTCAGATATAAATACCCATGTGGGTGCCTGGGTGCCAGTCTCCTCACTGACTTTGAGGAGAAAAGGTTCCCTAGTAGGATCCGGTGTCCATTTTGCCCCCACATTCACATTCCAGGCAAGGATAATGCCTGAGGGGCTAACCATGGTCAGGATGCCCTGGGATGAAGAGCTACAGGAGGCCCCTCAGCCCTTGCCCACTTGGTACAAGCTGCCCAGGCCAACTTTTGGCTCCAATTCCATGTGCACACCTTCTGTTGGGCTGTGGGTTTGTATGGCTTAGACTGGGAAGGTGGGCCTCTGGGCCCTGCAAACCCATGAGGTCACATGTTATTCTTCCCTAGCTTGGCTCTGAGAACCTCTCTGAGAAGAAGTCTGTCCTTGCTCAGCTGTAATCTTGTTCTCTCTGCCTTCATCTCATCCTCCCTCTGCCCAGATGTTTGCTGGGGCTTCCTTTCTGCCTGCTTTGGGATTTAGAGACAGGCGAGCCTTGAGGAAGAGTTACTCTGCTCCTGGTCTCTACCTCAAGGGAACTGGAGTCGCTGGAGTGACAAGGAGTTTGAATAATCAAAAGATTCATCCCAGGTTTGTCCTCGCCTCTGGGACCGAAGTCTACACCCTGGCTCCTGAAGCCTGCAACTGAAGATCAGTTTAAGAGCAGGGAGGAAGAACCATTCCTCCCTGAGCACCACCGAGGCAGGCACCAGCTAGAGAGGGCGCAGAGACCTCCCTGGGGACGGGGGCTCACCTAACCTCCTTGTTCTTTTGTGAAGAAGGAAAACACAGAGCTGAAGTTGCCCCTGTGAAGCCTTGAAAGGAGACAAGAAGTGGCCATGCACTCAGGTGAACTCACTGGTGTGTGTGTGCAGCTGATGCCCGGGGCAAAGGAGACCCAGCAGGGGACCCATCTAGGCTTGGGGAAAGAGCAGCACCTTGAGGACACCTAGACATTCACCCTTACTTCCTTTGAAGAACTCAGCCTTTAGGGACCCACCTCACAACTGCATAGTGGCTGGAGGTCTGGCTGGACACAAGACTTTCTGCACAGTAGGTGTGTTCCGCAGCCAAGACTGAGAACTGGGGGCAGGAACCAGCACCTCCCCGCCACCCACCATCACCACTCTTCTTCCAGTGGTCCTGGGAAGTGTGGCAAAAAGAGATGCTTGCTAATGCCCTTGCTTCTCCCAGGAGCGGAACCCTGTGCCGGGTGGAACCCTGAGTCATCTGGAGCATACTGTTGGTTGGAGCACGTCTCACATCACACAGCCTGTTCACACAGTTCCTCAAGTTCCTCCTCCGAGCCTGCATGAGAAGAAAGGGGAGAAAAGAGGTCACTGAGGGTCCAGCTAGCCTCCTGCTAATCCCACCTGTGGAGACTGTGGCTGGGAAGGGACCACAGAGAGGGAGAAGCGGGAAATATGTCTGGAAAGGTGAGTAGGTTGAAAGCTGAGAGGGGCCCTTTGGGAAACGAGAGAGAAAAACAAACCCAGAGAAATACTTACAGCAACCGCTGTATGACCAGTACTTACTATTCATTCATTTACCCAATAAATATTCATTAAGCATTCATTGTGAACTTGGCTTGCTACCATATGCTGAATAGACTCTCCAAAAGAATAAGCTGGGAGAGAAAGCATGCATGCACATGGATATTATGACAGCGGAACAGAACTAGGGTCCAAAGAGATGCATCATGGGAGGAGAGAGAGCACATCTGGGCACAGCAGTGAGGAAAGCCTTTCTGACTGAAGATTCTCGAGCTGGAGTTAGAGGGATGGCAAGAACTGGGTTTGTGGAGACAGGGAAGTTAGTGGGATATTCTGGGCAGCAGGAACTATATAATTAGTGTTTACTCAATGTGACTAAAGCAGAGGGCAGAGGAAGGGGAGGGAGATGGGAGCTAGCTGGTGCTGGAGCCCTGAAGGCCACATTAGGTTAGATTTTTCCTTCCCGTGGACATAACAGAATGTTTGGTTCTAGACAGTTCATTGCAAGGCTGGTGGCCCTGGCAGAGGGAGCTGCGCTGCCCATCCGAATGTGACGCAACCCTAGGTGTGCGGGCCCCTCGCCTTCCCGGCCCCGTCAGGGGGAGGCTCCTGCTTTGACCTGCAGGCTGTACTCTGTGTGGGTAGGGGCTGTCAGCAGTGGACTCGGGGAGGGGGCGACAGTGGATGTGAGGACCGAAGAAAAGGGAGACACCGACTCCAGAGCAGAAGGTGGCCTGACTCGGGCAGCACTCAAAGCAGACAGGACAGAGTCCGCAGGGAACCATCAGACACCACACGGCTGTGGACCCTTCCATCCCACACACCAGCTGTTAGCATGCATGCCTCCCCATGGCTCTGGGTCTCCTGGAGGGCAAGCTCTGTGTCCTCAGAAGCCTGCCTAGAACCTCGCATGTAGCAAGCACGTCATCAGGAGGAAATGAAGAAATGGATGGCAGTGGCTCTCAAGCCCTGCCTCCAGGATCCCAGGCCTTGTCTTCAGGACCCCTAGGATCCTCTCTTGAGGGAGAACGGTTCTTCTGGCCATGGCTATAGGTAAAGACGTGTACCGTTCATATAATGTCTCTCAAAGGTGGGAGGGGGTGGGAGGGGGTGGGAGGGGGTGGGAGGTGAGAGCCTTGGAAAGGGAGGATGGTCTGGGCAAACACATCAAAGCTTTGGCTTAGAGCCGAGGATTCACCTTGGTGCCATTGGTTGAGACACAGAAATGCCATGAGTTCCCATGAAAACATGGCTGGCCTCATTAACAAGAGTGTTTGGAAGAGAAGGCCCCCAGGGAAGCGGGGAACCACCTATGATTCCTGTGCTTCAGATGAGGTACACCCTCCTCAGCTTTCAACAACCCCTTGGATGTTTTCATCTGCCCTGTGACCTCCAGGTGTAATCTCCCTTCCCCAGAACACCTGCTTCCCTGGAAACTCACCAGGCTGGGCTGGCAGCACCTGGCAGTATGGATAAGGGCATGGTCTGCCCTCTGGCATGTCAGAACTCCACTCGGAATGCCCCTCTCCAGGAGAGCATGGTCCCAGAGGCTGGCAGGGGGGCGGATACAACCACACCGGCTGTGAACTCGAGTAACAGGGACCTGGGGCTTCATGTAGCAGTCTCCTGGCCTGGCCTGGAGGCCTGAAGATCAATGGGTGAGCCTCTGGAGGCCAAGGGGATGCCAGGCTGGGGCTGTAGTGGGGGGAAATCTGGCAAGCTGGGTGCACACTCAAGTCCTGGGGCCGAGAGGTTGGCAAGGGTTCTGAGGGGCCACCCCGCCGTTTTCTTTGTGGGTGTCGGACAGGGAGGCTGGATTTCTGCAAGTTCAAAAGACTGTTGGGGTTGGAGTTGGGGCTGGGCCCGGCAGCTTCTGCGAGGCCAGGAGCTAGCTCTGTCAGGGACCTGGGCCGCTGTGTGTTGGGGGGCATTGAAGGAGCTGCTGGGTTGGGTGTGGTGAACTTCTGGTCCAAAGATGGCTCCAGCTGGAGCTGAGTCTGAGAAGCAGTAGGCCTGGACTGAGGGACCCCAGTTTCTGGGCCAGGCTTCCTGCCATGCCACTGGAACCGCTTTTTATAGTGGTGGTGGCGGTGGTGGTGATAGTGGACGTGGCTGGAAACCCGAGTCTCCCCTGTGGGCACCACTGAGTCCAGGGACCGGGGTCGAGAGGTCACACTAGGCTGCCGCGTTCCTTTCCCTCTGAGATCCCCTTCAGGGCTACAGTACACCAAGGGGTCAAAGTCACTGCTCAGGGAGCTGCGGAAGGTGGAGCTGCTGCCGTGGATCCCCTGCAGGCTGATGTCTGTGCAGTTGACCACCGAGTCACTGGAGGAGCCGTGACAGGGCCCCGAGCTGGAGTCACTGGCTGGCCCATCTGCCAGGTAGCCGCTGCGTTCCGTACAGTAGCTTTCTCCAGACCCGCTACTGTCGTGAGGCCTGGCCCGGCGTACGGCCACTGGGCAAGCCTCGGGGTGCTGAGGGGTGCATCGGAGGCGGCTCAGCCCCCAGCCCCGCGCATAGGGGTGCTGAGACACTGCCAGGTGCCGCTGTTCTGCTGGTGTCCGGAGATGTGCAGCCCTGGGGAGACGCTGATGCCGAGAGCCCATACTCGGCTCCTGGGAGGGTGGGAAGGGTCTAGGTCTTGGGGGCCGGGCCACGGAATTCCTGGGAGGGCCCAACAGGTAGGCAGAGGGGAGATGATAGTGGGCATGGCCAGGATGCTGGCGAATGAGGTGGAGTCTCCTGCCTGGTTCCTGATAAGACGGAGAGGCCCCCAGGGCCTGGGAAAATGAATCTCCCTCTGGGAAAAAGAACGAAGGACACGGACATTTGATCTCACAGACACAGACTTCAGACAGAGAATGAACTCAGAAAGGCGTGCGTAGCTACACTCTCTGATCCTGCATAGCCTCTCAACTCAGTCTGGGGAACCAAGACCATCTAATCTAAAACTTACCCCTGCCTGGACGTAACTCCTCCTCTTCCTTCATTAGGCTATCAATCCCTGCTCCTCCCGCCTGCCATTTGGGGCTCTTTCGTCCAGGGCCACCATTAGCTAACAATGTCCCTTTGGATGGACCAACGCAAGGTTCTTTTTCCTCAAGATGGGGACTTCATGTCCATCTTTGAGAAAATTGCTACACCGATTTTATTAGAATAGGGCCCTTATTGCCAGAACATTAGAATAACGAATTCGCAGATAACCCGGATTTAGAATCGACAATGTTGTCATGGAAACACACTCTAAGAAAATGAAGATGGCTCCCGTATGGACAGCCCTCCCTGACAGACAGACAAGGTGCTCTTGAGCAGTGTGCAGTAAAGCCACCGTGGTGGCAGCTGCTTGTCCTCAGCCCCACAGTAGAAACCCTTTTCCAGAGGCTAGCTAGCTAGGTTCTAGATCCATCTGCGTGCGTGAGGGAAGCCCTTGGCCCACCTCCTACCTACGATGTTGAACATGCAGAGGGGGCAAGTCCGATGCTGGTGCAACCAGGGGTCCACACAGGTGCGATGGAACTCGTGGTGGCAGGAGATGACCCGGAGCTCCTGAAGCGAACAAGAGTGTCCCCACCAAAGGTTACAAGGATCCCCCTAACGTTCCTTTCAGTCACCTCCTTGCAAAGGAACAGGAGAGTAATGGAGGAGTGAGCTTTGATGGCTGGTGGATTTGTGTTAAGCTGCACGACTTTGGGCAAGTTTTTTTCTCTCTCTCTGTTTTTGGTTTTACTTTAAAAAAAAAAAAAAAACTATTAAACTTAATTTTATATGCATTGGCCTGAAGGTTTCAGACCCCTGGAACTGGAGTTACAGACAGTTGTGAGCTGCCATGTGGGTGCTGGGAATTGAACCCAGGTCCTCTGGAAGAACAGCCAGTGAGTGCTCTTAACCACTGAGCCATCTCTCCAGCCCCATGGTTTTACTTTTTTTTTTTTTTTTTTTAAAGATAGTCTCACATATTCCTTGACCTCTTGAGCCTGCTTTTCCTATCACCCAAATGCTGGATTCGAGTCATGCACCACAACGCTTGGCTCAAGTGTCTTAACAGTTTCTACTGTCGGTGAGGATAAGAACCCAGCCTGCTCCCCACCCTCTTCTGCCACGGGGCTAACACGAGATAATGGGTTTAAAGTGCCATTGTGGCCTGACACGAGGCTCCCTCTCCACAATACTGATGCTTCTTCTTAGAAGCCAACAACATGCCCAAGCTTAGGAACAACACATAAGACCCGGCTGTAGTTAGGATGCAGCCCCCCACCGCTGCCCCAGCTACCGTCTCCATCTCCAGCCTGGCCCACCTCACCTGCCCCTCTGAGAACTCCTCCAGGCAGATGGCGCACACGGGGGCCGAGCTGCAGGTACTCCCTGAGTCTGGACACTCGGCTCGAGCCCGCCGACAGCTGGCCTGGTACCGCCTGGTGGCCAGCTGGCTGATGGCCCAGGCTGTCCGTTGCCGAAGAGGGTCCTGGGAAGGGGAATGGCGTTCAGGGGGAGGCAAGGGCTCTGTTTCCCTCTCCTCCGGGCCACAGCCTGGACTCAGTTCCATCGCCCCGTTAGATCACACAGCCCAGTGACTGCCCTTGGGGGAGTATCCCTTCAAAGCTCATGCATACCTGTGGCCGTCCACCCCACCACCTGCTATATCCCATTATGTTTTCTCCCTTTGATGACTCTTGAGAGAAACTTTAAAAACAATCATTATTCTTGTCTATGTGCATGGGCGTTTGGTCTGTGTATGTCTGTGCACCATGTGCGTGCCTAGTGCCCATAGAGACCAGAGAGGGTGCTGGATCCCCTGGAACTGGAGTTACAGACAGTAACTCCCATGCTCACCCACCTCTGGTCTGTGCTGTGCTGTCATTTTCTCGACGCAGACTCACCTGGACTGGTTTAGCAAAGGTTAACCCTGTCTCCCCTCCCGCCAGCTCCTCTGTACCTCCTTCCCTGTTCTCTGTAGACTCACCTGGACTGGTTTAGCAAAGGTTAACCCTGTCTCCCCTCCCACTGGCTCCTCTGTACCTCCCTCCCTGTTCTCTGTAGACTCACCTGGACTGGTTTAGCAAAGGTTAACCCTGTCTCCCCTCCCGCCGGCTCCTCTGTACCTCCTTTCCTGTTCTCTGTAGACTCACCTGGACTGGTTTAGCAAAGGTTAACCCTGTCTCCCCTCCCGCCGGCTCCTCTGTACCTCCCTCCCTCTTCTCTGTAGCAAGCACACGTTGCCGTCACACACATCACACATTTCACTTCTTTTAGTGCCTGCTTCCTCCCACTAGGATGAGAGCTTCTTAAGAGGGAAGGACTGGGGCTGGAGAGATGGCTCAGCGGTGAAGAGCACTGACTGCTCTTCCAGAGGCCCTGAGTTCAATTCCCAGCAACCACATGGTGGCTCACAACCACCTGTAATGAGTCTAGTGCCATCTTCTGGCCAGCTAAGACATGCAGGTAGAACACTACATGAAAAATAAATATTAAAAAAAAAAAAAGAGCGAAGGGGTTTTGTCATCTTCACTCACAGTACTGTTTCCAGCACCTGAAACTGATATATATTACTCAGTATATATGATGGATGGATGGATGGATGGATGGATGGATGGATGGATGGATGGGTGGGTGGGTGGATGGATGGGTGGATGGATGGATGAGAGATATGAGGAAAGGCAGCCTCAAACCATCAGAGAGCCTAGAGTTTATTTAGGTGGAGACTGTTTCATAAGGCCGCCCGTCTGCCTCACCTTTTTCCTCCCACCTGCACATCTGTACCCAAGCCCTCTTGTAGGAGGCGGCCCACCCCTCTCACCGGTCTGCTATGGTGGGGCCGACATCGGATGCGCAGCACTGAAGCCAAGATGATAACAAAGATGGTGCCCACCACAGTCAGGAGGATCCACACGTCATAATCTGGCTGGGGATGTGGGGGGGGAGGCAGAGAGGAGAAAGAGTCATACTCTAGAAAGAGCCAGGCCAAGTCCAGAGGGAACACTGGAGTCAAGAAATGGAGTTGAAAGATCCCCTGGGCCTCCCGCCTGAGGGATGGATGAAGGGTGGGACTGGAAGGACCAGGTAGTCTCTCAGCCTTGGGGCTGCAGGAGAGGGATCTCTGGATGCAGCTGTGAGACGTCTTATCTGGAGACCCATGTGTCTGCAGGCAATGGAGAGGATCCCTGTGTAAGGTGGGAGCTATTTGCTGGAGAACGGCATGGGTCAGAGCCCGGGCCAGGCAGGCAGGCTTCTCTACTCTATGCCATGAACCCACAGAGCTGAAAACAGCTTCAGGGTTCACCAGAGCCGATCTGCTCACCCTGTAACAGACGAGGCTCAGAAAGTGGGAGAAATTCCCAGAGATAGGTGGCTAGGGGCTGAAGCGGTTTCCAGGGGTCTGGTGGACTGAGGCCTGATGGGCTTACCCAGGCCGGGGGCTCCTTCAGCTCAATCCTCACGTGGGCCTTCCGATTCTTGTACACAAACTCCATCAGCTTCTCGGCATCATTACCCCAGATCAGCACCACTGGCCAGGTCAGCCCCAGGGGCTGCTGCAGCTGCAGAGAACAAAGTCCCACAAGGGCTCTTTGTGACTTCCGCTTCCCGCAGGAATCCTACCTTCCTCCATCCAGCCCCTTCCTGGAACACCCGCATGTCCCTCGGCACCTGCTCGGCGGCTGAGCGATCCTCGGTGATGTCGAAAAGCACGGCACTGGCTCCTCGCTCGCCAGCCATTCGGGCCTGCGGAAACACAGCACAGGGGGTTGTCTGGAGCCAGACCAGGTCACAGCCCAGCCGTGGGTAGCTCTCAACCCTGAACACACGCGCACATCGCACCTCTCCCTAGGATGTGCACTCACATGTACGTGCGGAAGGAGTCAGGGAGCCTGGGATCCCTGGCTGACCCAGCCCGCTGCCTTCAAAGAATGGCGTTCAGTCTTTCACTTTGAAACGGAACACTCACCCAGGTTTTTCTGGGTGCCAGTAAACCAGCTTTGGTTCTAGGGTAAGATAAGCCCCTGCTCAGGGATCAAGCATGCCGGAACAAAGGGCAGGGAGTGACCAGCAGTTGGAAGGGGGAGAGAGAGGACATGGGGAGAGCAGCAGAGGACCCAGCCCTGCCTAACCGGAGGTGGCTGTGGAATTCCACCCATCAGGAGTGGGGCTCAGGCAAAGTGCTGAGGGCCTGGGACAACTGTGCTCACCCAAAGCGTCCATGGCACATCCCCACCTCAGTGCCCCCCACAGGGGCGATCTCTCCCTGACACTCTCTAGCTTGCCAAGCAAGCTCTTTGGTTCTAACTCTGGGCCTTAAGGAGTCCTTGTCCAGGTGCTTGATCCCCTCGCCCCCTCCCTTAGGATGGCTGGATTGAGGAGGGCCTGAGAAGGCTGCTCCCACAGGGACAGAACCGTGCGCAGGTGCACGTGTACGTTTGCCAAGGGCGCCAAGACTGCAGCGGAGCCAGTACAATCCAGCCAGCCCGCAGCAGCGGCGGCCGCGCAGCCGCGCAGATAACAGCCAGAGACAGATCAAGAGGAGGGAATCTGGGGCCCGTGTGGGGGTGAGGGGAGGAAGATAAGAACGCAACAGCCAACAACTAACTGACAAGGACCGGCTCTGTGAAGGTGCTGTTTCCAGCCTGGAATCGGACCGGCCAGACCAGAGGCTCGTCCGTCCGTCTGCCTGCCACCTCCAGTACCACCTCCCACCCCAGGGACCCTGCTGACTCCTTGGGGCCTTCCTGCAGGCAGTGAAGGAGTTAACCCTTCTGCAAGTCACCAAGGCAGGAAGAGGAGCTAGTGCTGGGACTTAGTCACAGCCCCAGAGCTTTGATCTAGGCGGGCTTCCCAGGGAGCGCCTGTTGTGGCAGGTCCCCTGCCAGGCTGGCTGGGAGCAGCTTCGTCCTCTGCTCTCTGCTCCCCATCCCCCAAGCAGGGGAAGGAAGGGGCTAGCGGGCCCCTCAGAACCAGTTGCCTGCAGGCAGGGGACAGGGGAGGGGGCAGTGAGATACTGAAGTGGGGCCCCTATTTTGGTTAGGATAGCTTTCCTTTCTTCTCTCTTGCTCCAGGGAGCTGGGCTGGTCCCTCCCCGGGGCCTGCCTAGGTGAAGTGACTGCCACCCCCAAGCCCCGAGGAAATTCACAAACTCTACAGGGGACTGGGGAAGAAACTGAGAAATTGCAGCTTCTCCTCTTAACCACTTCCTCCCAGAAAGCCCAGCCTACTCCAAACCATCTTCAGGGCTCTCCAAATTAGGGCTTTCGAAAAGTGTTGGCACCAGAGGCGCCTGTCTTTAATTTAATTTAATTCCAGCACTAGAGAGGCAGAGGCAGATAGATCTCTGAGTCCAGGGCCAGCCTGGTCTACAGAGGGAGTTCCAAGACAGTCAGGATTACACAGAAATACCCTGTCTCAAAAAACAAACAGCTGGAGAGATGGCTCAGTGGTTAAGAGCACTGGCTGCTATTTCAGAGGACCCGGGTTCAATTCCCAGTGCCCACATGGCAGCTCACAACTGCCTGTAACTCCAGTTCCAGGAAATCGGACACCCTCACACCAATGCACATAAAATAAAGTTAAATAAATTTAAAACAAACAAACAACAACAAAAGAAGTGTTGGGAAAGGAACCCAATAGGTTAATCCTACTGGTAATCGCATAGCCCAGGGATGGGCTGGGAGTGGGTTGGGTACCCAGTAGTCACAGGATGAGATTCCTAGGGCCTCAGGTTTCCCATACCCAAGACTCCGGGCTCAGTGTGGCCTAGAGGAGCATGGGGGCTCCCTTCTTTGCAGATTTTCTTACTTCTTCACCCCGCTCTCTTTGAAGAATTGGGGTAGGAACAGTAGAAAGCAATTACTGTGGGGTTCAAACACCCTAGCCCATTACAGCCCATAATTACAAAGTTGTAAAAGTGATCAAAGAGTCCAGAGAGTTGCCAACAGAAGAAAATAAACAGGACTTTCTGGCGGTGGCTTCTGGGGTCCGGAGTTCTAGAGACAGAAAGCAGATTTGGGGATGGACTGCAGTCCAAGCCGGGGCTCTCTGAACCTCTTGCCTGCTTGGACCCAAGAGTAGGAGCTACCAAGTGTCTCTTTGAGGAGTGGAACCTAGAAGACAGCGAGGATCCCAGGCTTCAGAAAGACAGTGCAGAGTCCTCTCTGGAGGCCAGGCCTTGGGCCAGCAAGCAAAGCTGTACCAGGAACCAATCCAGAGCATGCAGAGAGGGAGCTGGAATCCTGTCTCCTGGTCCACTAGTCAGCTGTTAAATTGTCCTTTGCAGACCACAGTGGCTGTTTCTGTAGATCACCTGCTCATCCATAATGCAACAGCACCCACTATGCCTGAGCTACTAAGCTAGGAAGGCCCTGACTCTATGCACATAAAACCAGAATGCTCGTAACGATATTCCAGAGCACAAACAGAAGGAACAGACAATAGTGGAAACTTTTCACCTCAGAATGCCTTTTCCTCTAGTTCTATGGTCCCCAGTCTCACACAAAACAGACAAATGTGAAGCAGCTCCCTCTGGGGGTGGGGTGAGGGGAAAGTACCTTAACCCTCCCCACCTCCAGCCCCCCAGCCCCAGCACCTCCAAGAAACACAGACATAGCAGAACATTTTGTTGAAAGTCCATTTGCCCAAAGACCGCCATCTGCTGGGAGGAGCGCTAGAGGGAGGGATTTCTGCCCCTACAGGGCTGGGGTCACGCTGGAAGGCTTCAGAGGACAAGTGGTACCAGGCTGAGCTTGAGAACAATGGTAGAAGGAGAGGCATGCGCTTCTTACTGAGATCTACCCCATCCAGAGTGCCTAAGTGGGAACCCCAGCTCTGCTCCCACTATTAGCTGTGAGACTTTGGGGAAACTCTTCCATGCTTCCATTTTCTTTTCTGTAAACTGGGACGAAACAGGCCCTACCTCACAGAGCTACTGTGAGAACTACATTAATTAATTAATCCATGTCAAGTACTTAAATTTGTGCCTGGCACATGGTGCCTTTTTTTTTTTTACTCCGAGACAGGGTTTCTCTGTGTAGCTTTGCGCCTTTCCTGGCACTCGCTCTGTAGCCCAGGCTGGCCTCGAACTCACAGAGATCCGCCTGGCTCTGCCTCCCGAGTGCTGGGATTAAAGGCGTGCACTGCCGCCACTGCCCGGCACAGGGTACTATTATATCAACTATTATATATGGTTTGTATGCATGAGTTCATTTATTCTTTAATTTTCCCTAAGACAGTAAGGAAACCAAGACTCAGAGGGCCTGAACTGGTCCATGGACAACAACTGATAAACAGCGAAGACTGGACTTGATCATCCTGGACTTCAGCTTCCAGAGCATCTACTCTTTCAGTTCAATCTCACTATGCTGCCCAGACTGGTCTCAAACTCACCACCCTCCTCACTCAGTATTCCTGCATGCTGTGATTACAGGTGTGTGCCACCCGAGTGCCTTCTCTTAACGACTGGGGGGCAGCCATCTTGGTACCCAGCTGCAAAAGGCCTCTGTACTTGTCCAGGCATGACAGGGGAATTGGAGCTGATAAAGAAGCAGACTCCAGTCTGGGAGACCCGGTAGGAACAGTTACAAGAATGGAAAAGTCCAGAAGAATTATGGCAAGGGTTTCAGAGAAGCACAAGTGAGACAAGGAGGAAAAAATATTAGATAGATAGATAGATAGATAGATAGATAGATAGATAGATAGATAGATAGATAAAAATCAAAAATCAAATCAAAAGCAGCCTTTGTGAACTGTAATGTGTGCAAGGAGTCAGGGACCCTGGAAAGACTGTTCAGTGGTGGAACACACGCTTAGCATGTGCAATGCTCTGGCTTCAATCCCCAGAAAAACCTAAATAAAACAAAATAAACAGCCCCCAGTATGGAATGGTAACGTGTGTGACAACGTGATGGTCACTGTAGTCATTGGTGAACGATTACTATTGTGCTTGGCACTGGGCTATGAGTTGGCATCTGCACCGTCTCATCAAATCCTCATAACTAGGGCAGGAGCCATGGCCCAGCAGTTAAGAACACTGGCAGCTCTCTCAGACGACCCAGGTTCAATTCCTTGCACTCTCATGATGGCTCACGATGACCTGTAACTCCAGTTCCAGGGGGTCTGATGCCCTCTTCTGGCCTCTGAGGTCACCAGGCATGCATGTGGTACACAGCTATGCATGCAGACAGAACACCCCCACACATGAAATTCCTTCCTGCCCTCTCCCTGCTTCCTTTCATCTTTTTTTTTTTTTCTTTTGAGACAGGGTTTTTCTGTGTACCTTTGTGCCTTTCTTGGATGTGGCTCTATAGAGCCAGGCCTCGAACTCACAGAGATCCGCCTGGCTCTGCCTCCCAAGTGCTGGGATTAAAGGCGTGCGCCACCACCGCCTGGCTCATCTATTCATTTTTTTAAGGGGATCTCTTCAATCAATCCTAGGCTAAACTTGAACTTGATAAGTAGCCAAGGATGACCTTGAATCCTAATCCTCCTGCCTCCACTTCCTGAGTGTTGGGGTTATAAGCATGTGCCACCACACCTGACGTACCATTAATATTAAGGGAAAACCAGAGCAGAAATCAATTGGGGTCAGTGATTTTCAATTTTTTCTTTTCTTTTTCTGTTTGTTTTTGTTTTTTGAGACAAGGTTTCTCCGTGTAACAGTCTTGGTTTCATGTAACATACTCTGTAGACCAGGCTGGCCTCGAACTCACAGAGATCCACCTGCCTCTGCCTCCTGAGTGCTGGGATAAAAGGTGGGCACCCCCACTGCCTGGCTTCAATTTTTTTCTTACCAAAGACCTTCTTTCCCTTACACTTCCTAGGAGCCATAGTGTGTGTGTGTGTGTGTGTGTGTGTGTGTGTGTGTGTGTGTGTGCGTGTGTGTTCCACTAAACTAGCCATATATATTATTTATCTTGTTATATAATTATTATTATATAATAACACACTGAACTTAAGAGAATTCTATAAAGCCAAAGCAAAATTAAGTACTTCAGTTTAGCCTTTGAGATTTCTGAGACAAAAGATGTAGCTAGAACATCCTTATTAGTAACCTTACAAACCTCATTTGAGCAGGGAACCCTAGGCAAACAAACACCAGTTGGCCAGGTCGGATGACAGGACCCACACACACACATACACACACACACACACACACACACACACACACACACCCGGCATGGCTGGAGGAAGGGCAATTCCCTCAGCAACGAGAGAGAAGCCAGGTGTGGGGCTTCGTCCTGTCAATTTAACTGGACTGAGAAGTACCTAGGGGACTAGCGAAGGGTAGCTCTGGGTGTGTCTGTGAAGATGTTTCTGGGGAGCTTAATTAAAGGGGAAGACCTGCTCTAAAGTGGGCAGCACCATCCCAAAGACTGAGGTCACAGATGGAGGGGAAGGGAGAAAAGGAGAAAGCACACTAACTAGATTAGCCGTGTGTGTGTGTGTGTGTGTGTGTGTGTGTGTGTGTGTGTGTGTGTGTGTGTGTGTGTTGGGTGGGTGGGTGCAGGGCTTCCTGGGCCACTGTACTATGAACTTCTCTACCCACCATGCTCTCCTACCACGATGGACCACCTCTGCAGCACAGGCACAGCAACACTGAAGCATTCTACTATGGCCTGAAGCTTCTGAAACCATAAGCCAAAATGAGTCCTCCTTCTCAGAAACGGTTCTCTTGGGTGTTTTGCCACAGCAACACAAAGTTGAATGCACTAGGTTTTGGGTGCATGCAGGGAAGGACAAGAGCCCTGGTTAGCAGGCAGAGGCAAGGTACTGCTTTTCAACCCCACCATGCTTTCTGCTGCTGTTTTAGTCTGACCTTTCTCCGGGCACGGTCTCATGCAGCTCATGGTCTTGAACTTGTGGAGCGACAGCTGGAATTACAGGTGTGCACCACCATGGCCGATTTACACGGTGATGAGGATCGAACCCGGGGTTTCATGCACAGTAGGCAAACATTCTACCAGCTGAGTTACCTATCCCCAGCCCTCGTCTTGTTTTGGAGACAAGATCTCGGCCGGCAGCCTTGGTTAGCCTGAAATTTGCAATGTAGTAGAACAGGCTGGTTTTGAGCTTGTAGCGATGATCCTTCCACCCGGAGCCTCCCGAGTACCGAGATCACAGGCCTGTGCCACATGCCTGGCTCAGTTGTTACTTTATGATGGCTTTAGTTCAAGCACTACTGATATTGTGGCACATTACTTCTCCTGATTACAGTAAACACCGGGGAAAGGCAGAGCCCTACCGAGCACCCCAAAGGGTGTTCTTTGCTACAGTGTCTGTGCACACTCTTCTAAAAGAATGTGGTCCTTGGGGCTCCAGAGATGGCTCAGTGGTGAAGAGTGCTAGCTGCTCCTGCAGGACAACCCAGGATTGGACAGAGGCACCCACACAGCAGCCCACAACCATCTGTAACTTTGGCTCCAGGGAACTGGATGCCCTCTTCTGGCCTCCAAGGACACCAGGCAAGCTGGTAGTGTACGTATATATATGTAGGAAGGCAAGACACGGAAGATAAAAATAAATCTTTCCGTTGTTTGAGACAAGATCTCTCTCTATGGCTCCGACAATGCTAGAACTCACAGAGATCTGCCTGCCTCTGTCTCCCAAATGCTGGGACTAAAGGCAAGGGCCACAATGCCCAGCTAAAAATAAGTATTTTTTTTTTTTTAAAAAAGTACCGTGTTCCTGCAGAGGTCAAGGAGAAAGCCCCCCGCACGGAAGCACCCTTACAGTTGGTCACGTGTGCACAGGCTGTGCAATACTGTGTTAAAAGAACTGCAGGAAACCAGGTGTGGTGCAGGCCTGTGGACGTCTTCAGCCAGTCTAGGTCGCGAGGACCTGGGGCAGGTCTGTAAGTGTCTTCCGACTGAACATTATTTTAAGTTTTTTTTTGTTTTGTTTTGTTTTTTCGGGACAGGGATTCTCTGTGCAATCCTGGCTGTCCTGGAACTTGCCCTGTAGACCAGGCTGGTCTTGAACTCACAGAGGTCCACCTGCCTCTGCCTCTGCTGGTTTAAAAGACCTGTCCCACCACTGTCTGGTTTCTTTTCAGTTTTTAAATGTGGCAATTAATTTACATTTTAGTGGGGGGGTATTTTGTTTTGTTGTTTGAGTTTTTGTTTTGTTTTCATTTTGAGACAGGGTCTCATACATCCCAGGCTGGCCTCACACTCACCATGTGACTGAGGTGACTTTGAATTTCTAATCATCCTGCCTTCCGCCTGGAGGGCCGGGATGACAGGCAGGTACCACCAAGCCTGGCTTTAGGGAAGGTTAGAGAACACACTCAGGGAGGGGCGTGCAGTCTAGGCCAGCTGAGCCAGATCCCCAGCCCTAATTTACAGATGGACCCTTGTGCAAGCCAAAGTCATCTTGCAGGCCCAAGGTTAACAAACCTCACAGGAAATGTGTACACATCGTAGGGAGAGTAATAACTTCCACTTGCTGTTCTGTTTTCCTTTTTTTCAGTCAGGCTTTTGTTATCCAGCACTGGACGACCTCGTACTTACTATACAGCCCGAGCTGACCTCGAATGCACAACAACCCTAGCTCAGCCTCCTAAGTGCTGGAACCACAGGCGTGAGCCACCCTGCTCGGTGCTCAGCAGATGTTTCTGAAGTGTGAAAAAAAACCTTTAAGTGACACCCCACCCTGTACCTCCTGCTAGCTCGCTTGCTGGCTTGATTTGCTCTTGTGCCGAGGAAGGGCAAGTCCTCATGAATTTCTAAGAGATAGAGTGGGGTGAGGGGGTGGGAGGGTGGGGGTGGGAACTCATGCTGGGATGAAACAAAAGTCCTGGGACTGCTGGTGGAGTAACAAAAGGGTGAATTTCTACCTCTCTCAGATGGGTTGAGAGCTAAGGGAACTTGAGGGAGTGAGGTTTAGCATTCTTACAAAACTTCCTTGTTATTATTGTATGTGTGTGGGTGTTCTGCCTGGGTGTGTGTCTGTGTCCACCTTTGTTCCTGGTCCCCGGGAAGGCCAGGGAAAGCATCAGATCCCCTGGAACTGAGTTACAGATGGTTGTTGGCCGCCATATGGGCGCTGGGAATCAAACCCAGATCTTCTGGAAGAGCAGCCAGAGTTCTCAACCACCGGGCCACCTCTCCAGCCTCAAGGGCTTATCCTTCTAAGAGACAAGGGGGCAAGAGAGCAGAGGGTCCCCACAGCCCAGCGCTGGGTGCAGCTGAGGCCATGTGGTTTGAGAACGTGTGATGTGAGAATCTACCTTACTGGCCAGTGACAGGCAGGGGCGGGGAGCCCGCCGAGGACTCTCCAGCTTGACGATGCTGATGAATCCAGGCTCCAAGTTGTCGTCGTCACTGGCGTTGCACAGGTACAGGGGGTGGGACTGCAGAGAGACAGAGACCTGCGTTAGAGGAGCCCTGGGGAGCAGGCATGAGCTGCGGCCAAGAACCCAACACGTCGACATCATTCTCGGCAGGTTTCAGGGTGGACTCTTTTTAAAAAAATAATGTTTAAAAATAATGTGTGTGTGTGTGTGTGTGTGTGTGTGTGTGTGTGTGTGTGCATGTGAGCACATAGGTGCAATGGTGTGTATGTGGAGGACAGAGAACACGTTCCAGGGGCTGGTTTTCTCCTTCCATCATGGGATCTAGGGAATCGAACTCAGGTCGCCAGGCTTGCATTGCGAGTATTTCTGTCTGCCGAGCCATCTTGCTGGCTGAGTAGGTCTCTCGGAACTATGAAAGAGTAGGCCTTCTCTGGGCATGGCTGATGCCTGTAACTCCAGAAGCAGAGGCAGGAGGTTTGCCAGAAGTATGAGGCCAGTTACACAGTGAGTTTCAGGTCACCATATCTCAAAAACAGTCTTATTACTAGGTAGTTTCATATTAAACTAGTAATCATTATTTGTCACTTCAGAGGTGCTGGGGGTACGGGGTGGGGTGGATGGGAAGGAGGGGTACTGCAGACAGGACCTAAATGAAGAACCTGCTGAGAAAGCTGCAGGACCCTTACACCATACTTTTCCAAACGGACCAAATACAGATGTCTTTTCTCCATCTGACCACAGTGTCTCCTGATCCTTCTATGTGCTCCCAAACCTCCAGGTTCTGAGAGTGCTCATGTGCTCTGCCTTCTGTCCTTCTGTCCTTGAAGGCAGTGTCAGGTGCCACTGGTGGCTTTTTGGGATGCCTCGACAGCTACTGCCCTGTAGATTCTGGCCTCTGTCTTCTAATTCATTACACCCGCCCCTACTTCTCACTTTGCCTGTGAGTGCCCTGTGCCCATCATGGGATCAAGCAAACTGCTGGAGGAGGCTGTCTTTGGATGAAGCTTGGCCAGGACTTAAGGACTGAATAACACAATCCCTGACCACAGGAATGACACAGTAGAGATGGGACCATCTCTGCCCATTCTCAGTCTCAGCTCTGGGACTATGGATGGTCCAAATCCAAGACTTGACCTCTAAGCCAAACTGGTACAGAATAATGACTAAAGAAAAAACGGGCCAGCTATGTGAACGGAAATCCTAAGACCCTTCATCAGAGAAATGAGACCCTTTACTAAACAGCCTATTCTTTGAAAAATGATGACATTTAATTTATTCTGTGTGCACATCTGTGTGCACATGCGGTATGCTTGCCACGGTGTATATGTGGCGGCCAGAGGATGACTTGTGGGGACCCAGGGGGTTGAACCTGAGTCTTCAGGCTTGTTGACAACCCCATTGAGCCATCCCACCAGTCCTTCATTCAGGACAATTCTAAAACATATTGGAATCTAATTTTCCCAAAGTGGTAAGAAAACAAAGTTGTGGGCTGGAGAGGTGGCTCAGAGGTTAAGAGCACTGGCTGCTCTTCCAGAGGTCCTGAGTTCAATTCCCGGCAACCACGTGGTGGCTCACAACCATCTGTAATGAGATCTGGTGCCCTCTTCTGGCCTGCAGTCAGTCATACATGCTGTATACATAATAAATGAATGAATGAATGAATGAACGAACGAATGAAAACAAGTTGTGTTTGCTTGTCCCTGGATAATCCTACAGGTGAGGGGTTCCCATGTCTCGGCAAAAGAGTAATTTCCTACACAGGAGTGGCTGAGACTTCACTCTCCGCTGATGCTAAAGTTTGAAGTGCTTTCAGAAAGAGCCACCAGAAGAACCACAAAGAATTTCAAGTTGTTGTTGATGATGATGATGTCCACTATGGGTTTAAAACCACAGTAGCTTTCTGAAAGCTTCCTCAGGCTCATCTCTTACTGACTCAGACATAGTAGGTTCTCAATTGATCTGTACTATGTTGCTTTGCATCATAGCCTTGATAATAACCTCTCTGGGTGGGAAGAAGTGGCTCTATTCTCATTTCCAGAATTTAAGGGTTGCTGGCTTGGTGGTGATGGAGCCTCGGTGTGGGAAAAAGGGTATACACTCTTGTCTCCAGAAAATGAATGGCATGAGGCTGGGCTGTTTTCTCTTCAATGAATATGCTGGCTTCAGTCTGCCTATCCAACCATCCATCCATTCCTTTCGTGTGTGTGTGTGTGTGTGTGTGTGTGTGTGTGTGTATTACACATGTTCATTTTTGTGTGTATGTGCACATGTGAGTAAAGCCAGAGGTTGAACCTGGAAGTCTCAATGCACCTTACTTTAATAGATTGGGTCTCTCACTGAGCCTGGAGCTTGTCAATTAGGCTAGACTGGCTAGCCAGCGTCCTCCCAGGGACTTGGCTGTGTCTGCCTCCACAGCACTGGGACTACATGTGTGCACAACATACCTACCTTTTTTTTTTTTTTTTAAGGTTTATTATTTCTATTTTGTCTGTATGAGTGCTTGCCCTGAATGTGCACAACTTGGGTACTTGGTGCCTGAGGAGGCCAGAAGAGGGCATCAGATCCCCTGAAACTAGACTTCTAGACAGCTGTGAGCTGCCATGTGGGTGTTGGAAACCAAATCCAGGTCCTCTGCCAGAGTGGCCAGTGAACTGAGTAGCCATCTTTTCAGCCGGTGCCCAGCTTTTTTTTTTTTTTTTTTTTTTTTTTGTTTTGTTTTGTTTTTT